ATCAAGATAGTCTCTGAAAAGTCCGGGTGCACGGAACAAGTAAGATATTTCTATAGATGTTGTCATGTGTAATTTGCAGAATAGCCCTCTAATTATTTAGTAATAGTAAAATTTCCGAAGCCTGAACCAAATCTCAAGTCAATAAATACCCAGTTTTCATGCTTTTGTAAATCATCTATTATTAAGATTGTGGGTATTTTGGTATTTAAAGATGCGTCAATCTATAATCTATAATAATACTTAGAAATAATTTTAAAAAATTGAAAAGTGAATTTTAAAAGAGATTTTTGGATAAAACACGATTTTTTAAAGTTACGGTTGCTATCAGGGTCTTAGCAAATATTGCACCGGTTAATAACTGAAAACATCGCACCGGCTGCTATTTGAAAATTTTCCTTATTTACAGAGATATGAAACAAACTTATGGCAGCAAATGTCTAAAATCTACATTTTAATATCCCAAATTGCCTGTGAAATAAGATGTCTATATACAGTATGCAGTTGACTTTTACCATCTTAACTCAATGGTGTAACTTCGATTTTGAAATGGGGGGGGGGTGGGTAGAAAAATTCAAATCTATTTTTAAAAAGGCTGACATGGAAAAAAGGAAAATTGTCAAACATCAGTAACATTTTTTCTCACGCGCAACCACCTACCCCTGATTGACTATGCTGCAATAAAAAAGGGGGGCTTCAATGAAAATTTTCAATATAGTAAAAGTTATGCTTGGAATAAAGTCAACAGGCCTTTCAATGAACATTTTAGAAAGTAAAGGTTATGCTTGGAACAAAATGTGGAGGGGAGGGGGGTGGGGTGGGGGGCGTCTGTAACTCGAATGTATCGTATTTTTGCAAAGTAGAGCTGATCTTCGAAAAGGATTGCTACTCAAATAAAAAGAAAGCTTCACGAAATGACCCGTAAATCAATTTGAAATAGCATATAATATATATTTACAATCAATTTATACAATCATTTCTTTAAAACTTTTCTTAAGTTAGAGTTTTTGGGGATTTTTGTAGCCTACATGTATACTTAAACATGTATAATATCTAGTAAAGTTATATAGTACAGTGCATAAACTTGGTCAAATATTTCTAATTCCATATTTCTTTTTCGAAGTACGGTGATGCATTGGTTCGTTGAACGACTAACATGCAATATTCAAAACATCACCCCCCCTCTCCCCATTAGGCTTTTAAGAGTTCTTTAAATTATATATATAGGTAAGAAAGACAAGCCCCCCCCCCCCCCCCCCCCCGCCACGAAAATAAAACGTGGTTTTTATATTAATGTTTTCCACTTCTTTTTACTGTCGAATTTCTTGTAAATTGACTAATATATTTTCATTAAAATTTGTACCTGAGTAAATATCGACGTTGGACAGCAAAACTTTATAACTTTATGTGAGCTTTATTCATTTTTCAATTCATATTTTTTTTAAATCAGATATAGAGATTGCTAATTTGTAGGTTTATGTTTGGATTTGTAGAGGTGGGTTGCGTAAATATTTGAAACAAATAATCTCTCTTGGTTTGTGTATCGATAATTATGATTTTTAGCTCTACTGGTCAGAGACCAGAAGAGCTTATGCGATAGTAATGCGTCCGTCGTCCTCCGTCTGTCTGTCTGTCCGTCTGTCTGTCTGTAAACAATTTTTCAAAATGCTACTCCTCCTACAGTTTTGGTTTGATTTCAATATAACTTGGCACACAAGTAGACTACACTAAGATACATAATTCTGTGTATCGGTTTTTGATTTCGATGAGCAGTGTTGCTGTTGTTACTAAAAATAAAAATTTCTGTGAAAATCATTCAAAATGCTACTCCTCCTACAGTTTGGTTTGATTTCAATATAACTTGGCACACAAGTAGACTACACTAACATACATAATTCTGTGTATCGATTTTTGATTTCGATGAACGATGTTGCCGTGGTTAATAAAAATAGAAATTTCTGTGAAAATAATTCAAAATGCTACTCCTCCTACAGATTTGGTCTGATTTCAATATAACTTGGCACAGAAGTAGAATACACTAAGATACATAATTCTGTGTATCGGTTTTTGATTTCGATGAACGGTGTTGCCGTGGTCACTAAAAATAGAAATTTCTGTAAAAATCATTCAAAATGCTACTCCTCCTACAGTTTTGGTTTGATTTCAATATAACTTGGCACACAAGTAGACTACACTAAGATACATGATTCTGTGTATTGGTTTTTGAAATCGATGAACGGTGTTGCCGTGGTTACTAGAAATAGAAATTTCTGTGAGAATCATTCAAAATACTACTCCTCCTACAGTTTTGGTCTGATTTCAGAAGTAGACTACACTAAGATACATAATTCTGTGTATCGGTTTTTGATTTCGATGAACGGTGATGCCGTGGTTACCAAAAATAGAAATTTCTGTGAAATTCTTTCAAAATGCTACTTCTCCTACAGTTTTGGTTTGATTTCAATATAACTTGGCACACAAGTAGACTAAACTAAGATACATAATTGTGTTTATTGGTTTTTGATTTCGATGAAGGGTGTTGCCATGGTTACTAAAAATAGAAATTTCTAGTGAAATTCTTTCAAAATGCTTCTTCTACAGTGTTGATCTGATTTCAATATAACTTGGCACAAAAGTAGAATACACTAAGATACATAATTCTGTGTATGGGTTTTTGATTTCGATGAGCAGTGTTGCTGTTGTTACTAAAAATAGAAATTTCCAACTGCTTAAGTACTTTTCTCTTCCAGCAAAACTTTATAACTTTATGTGAGCTTTATTCATTTTTCAATTCATATTTTTTTTAAATCAGATATAGAGATTGCTAATTTGTAGGTTTATGTTTGGATTTGTAGAGGTGGGTTGCGTAAATATTTGAAACAAATAATCTCTCGTGGTTTGTGTATCGATAATTATGATTTTTAGCTCTACTGGTCAGAGACCAGAAGAGCTTATGCGATAGTAATGCGTCCGTCGTCCTCCGTCTGTCTGTCTGTCCGTCTGTCTGTCTGTAAACAATTTTTCAAAGTAGACTAAACTAAGATACATAATTGTGTTTATTGGTTTTTGATTTCGATGAAGGGTGTTGCCATGGTTACTAAAAATAGAAATTTCTAGTGAAATTCTTTCAAAATGCTACTTCTACAGTGTTGATCTGATTTCAATATAACTTGGCACAAAAGTAGAATACACTAAGATACATAATTCTGTGTATGGGTTTTTGATTTCGATGAGCAGTGTTGCTGTTGTTACTAAAAATAGAAATTTCCAACTGCTTAAGTACTTTTCTCTTCCTTTGCTATAAGTACAAATCAGTAGAGCTTCAGTCTCGACAGAGACTTCTGGTTTAAAATTCCAAATCGTAAATTTAACCAATCTGGCAAAAAAACATAGCTGGAATATAATAAATTGGGTGGTCACATGATTTAATGGCTTACACAGAACAGGTGTGGGTGTGTGTGTGCATATGTCATAGACGTCGGAAGCAATTTGAAAGATGGGGGGGGGGCTACACCTGGTCCAATAAAAAAAAGATTAGCCCAAGTTTTCAGTGCCTATATTATACTGACACGCAAAAGAAACGCAACACCCTTTTTAGGGGAAAAAATATGTAAAGTAAAGAATTTTGTATTTTAAAATTATGAATATCTTCAATTTGGGAAACATCAGTAAATTAACGGTTGAACGATTTCCATACCATAACCAGAAGTCAAGTTTTAGTCTGCTTAACAGAAATCAAAAATTGCAAGTTAAAAAAACATTTGGCAATATTATGGAGTTTTAAGGGTTTTTTACTGTTCATCATAAGTAATGCAGCAATATTTCAAAAAATAAAATCCACTTTCGATTCCCGAAACAATGCTAAGGCTACTTGAAAATAGCTTATGTAGGCATTTCCATTGCTCTAGCTGGAAAATTTCAATGTAAAGGTGATGGAGAGTTGCTGATGCAAAAATTCACAACATTACGCCTGAACAGGGTCTTACGTATCATATTCATTAAGGACAGTCCTTGTACCGGAAGTCCAAGGATGGCTACACTGCTCTAAGTTAGAGAAAATTCGACCTAATTATCTGAAAACGGGCATTTAAAAATATCAAAGAATAATTCCTTCGCTGAGATCTCGATATCAATGAACCTACTGTATCGTAGAAATTAAGCTGCAAATGTTGTTTAGGGCAGTCTTGCACGTTTAACTTGAATGGCTGAGAGGGGGGTGTTTTAACAGTCATATTTTACTTAGTAAAGTAAACAGATAAATATTTAACATTTTTATCAAATCTCCGATGTTCTGAAAAGTGAATTGAGCCTTACTTTATTCATTTTTGAAAATCAAAAGATAAAAAACAAACATTTGTAAATTACTGCTAGTTGCGTTTCTTTTGCGTGTCAGTATATGTCTGTGTCTTCGCAAAAAATGTGTGAAGGCTTAGCCTCCCCCTGTTCCAAAGCCAATGTGTACAGGGGTACATGTACATGTACATGTCATACATATGTACAAACTCTACTATTTACAACATACATATAAATATACGATTAATTTGTCATTATATGATGGAAAGTAACATACATGACAAGTCAATCATTAAGAAAGAATGTAAGGTGTATATATAGTTTTCTTAAGGAACTATATTAATTGCATAAATATGTAAATTGAGGATGTGATTTTAATTTATGAAATTTGAAAACAAACCTATTCAAATAGTAACCGGTGCCGTTGTCTAATAGTAGCCGTATCACAAGATTCTGCTAATAAAAACACTCTAGCTTGTAAGAAACGCATTAAGGACCTTGGCAACGAAGCATTCCGGGTTTAGAAATTCCGGACTTGCATTTTCTCTTTTGTACACATGATTTAGAGTTATCGTTCATGAATTGTTTCAATCGAGAGTGATGTCCCGTGATTCGAAATCTTCAGCGTTGCGGAGAGTAAAAATGTTTGTTTCCGGTTAAAAACAGCTGAAACATTCGGGATTGAAGTTTCATATCTATACAGTTAAACGATGAAGCGATACCGTTCTGTTTCAACAGGTAGATATATATCAGAATCAAAGAAAAGAAGAATCGACTGCTTTATAGAAAACAATGTTAGGAAGATTGTGAATGACCATTCTTATTCTTTCAGACCTGCAAGTCAGTGTGAGTATGTCAGTGAGCCAGTGTCATTATTAGAAAACGATGATGGAAATACTAGTATGTCACAAAATAATAGTACAGAAAATAGTAACAATTTATGCAGTGATGAACTGGAAGGAGAGGAGGTGGATTATGACTATGAAACAGAGACAAATTCAAATTGGAGGCAGGGTAGGCGAATTGTAGAGTTGGGGTTTCTTGTGGACAAACTCTGTGAAGGATGTGCAGTGTGCCATTCATCTATACCTTTAAACATTACAAATATAGTGCATGAGATACGTTATGGTTTAGGCAGCTTATTGACTATCAGATGTCAACTGTGTGATGGAATGACAGTTGTGCCAACGGCCAAAAGACATAGGTCGCCAAAGGAATCGCCGTGGGGAAGAAAAACGTGGGATGTGAACACTAAGTTAGCTTTAGGTGCAGTATAATATATAACAATATTGTTCAAGAAATATAAAAAAAAAAATATCAATGTAGATGTAAGTTTGACACATCATGAAATCATATATTTTAAATACCATTAATGGCAAATGTTTTATAAAAGTACTCAAGAATCTTTTTTACCGGCCGCCAGGAGGCGGTCGGTTAATTGATATGAAAGTATGAAGTCGACCTGCGTTTCTGCGGAGTTTGAACAATTTCAATAAAAATATTTAACGTTCATATTATAGAATATTAAACAAAGATATTTTTAAATGTTTAACAAAAAGCACAATAATCATAAAATTAAAATGATATAAATAATAGGGGTAAGTGTTTCATCCAATCCTGATAGACATACTCCGACATGATTGAAGTGCGGCGAAGTTATATGTAGGCATAGTCTAAAACAAAGACCGCGTTGTAAATCAACAATTTTAGTTTCTCTTTTTAAATAGCCTAAACGGGATTTGTTGTATTTATTTTGAAATGACGTGTATATTTATACATTTTCTATGGAAAATTATCAAAAATTTAATGAAATATTTATTTCTTAAAAGCACAGAATCTTAAAACATTTTGGTCCAAGAAACTAGGATAAAGCGCGTTTTACAATGTGCCATGCTTTTTACCGCCACATCTCAACACCAAAACAGAAAGAGAAGAAATGTTGTGGTGGATCTAGAGGGAGTTGGGGGAAGTTAATAATCTCTAAGAAAGAGCGAGGAGCCCCACATATTTCATATTTGTTGCGTTTTTATTAAAGTAAAACTAAAGCTTAGTTTAAATTTTAGTTCTGTACTTTTATGTAAAAACTACTTTAGCATCAAACTTCCACCAGAACGGTTCGACGCCTAGGTCTATGGACAGTTTGCTTATACATATAATATTGTACATGCATTATGCATGAAAAAAATCGGCAATGTCGCATGCAAGTGTTTCATGTCACGAGGATATTTTAATAGATAAATATAAGAAATTTTAAAAACAGGTCACGCAAATTTTATTTTCTTATTACTTTATCAATGGAACAATTAATTGGTTTGCGGCCGATTTTTGACGCTTGCGTCAATATATGTTTCTTGTTCATACTTGTTTTTGCAATTCAGGTATGCTTCACAGTGGTATAGGAGAAAGGAAAGTAGCCAACCTATTGTCTACACTGAACATACCCCCTTGTTCCAAAACAACACTCAAGAAAAGAGAGAGGGAAATAGGACAGGCTGTTGAGGAAATTGCTCATTCCAGTTGTTCTGATGCTGCTGTTAGAGAAAGAGAATTGACAGAGTAAGACAAAAAAAAATAATTTTAATAAATTCATATAAAGGGAAATGTATACTTATTCAGATATCATGTAAATAAATTTATTTATCGTATGTACTAGAACACGTGTTATTTGTATGGTCCTATATTAAAAGTCGATAGCCATTGGTTTCTATTTTTAACAATACCTGTCGAACAGGTATTCAAGTTAAGCACGAAATTTACTCATTCGAAGGCTTTTCTTCGCCAACGTTACACCCCCCCCCCACCCACCCTTAGTGTAAGTTAGGATTTAATTTTCAGGGTATGACAAGAACTGTTTAAGTTAATGTATACGGTTTTCTGTATATAGTCATAAGTCTAATGTGTATTTTCTCTATTTCAGAAAGAAGTGATGAGATTCACGGAATTATTATGTATATTGTACGTGTAATAAATGGCAGATTAGCGCTTCTCTTCCTAAACAAGTGTGTTGTTATTATTGTAAATAATTTATGTTCGTTTGAGTGAAACGAATTAGAACATAATGGAAGAAAGCTTTTTCTTTACATGTAATAAACAGTTGTAGAAAAAAAGAAGTTTCTTTTACACTGACAAGATATAGATTTGTACACTGTCTACCTTATATTACATTATTTTTTGTATTTTAGAGAATCTCCTGTATCTGCATCATTTGATGGTGGCTGGCAAAAACGGGGATCAGGGAAATCTTACAGTAGTCTTTCTGGTAATTTTTTGCAAAATAAAGAACTTCATATTTATAATTTCACTCTATGAAATATAATACTGTATACAGAGAAATTTTTGCCCCCATTTTATTTTCGTCCCTTTCGCCCTCCTCTCATTTGGGCGAATTTAAAACGGGGCGAATTCAAAGAATACAGTCTAATTTCTTAAATAAAACTATGATTGGGCGAATTTAAAATGGGGCAAAATTGTTTGTAAGTGTGAAAGGGTGAAAATAAGACGGGCCGAAAATAACCCTGTATACAGTAATCTGTTTCTGGATGAATATTTATTATTATAAAAGTAACGTAATCAGAAGAGTCGTATCAAGTCAAATTGACAGGGGCAAATGATCAGAGTTAACAAGACTTGAAGCACCTGTTAATGAAATGTGATACAGCTCTTCGGATCAAGTTGCTGTTAAAATGATAAATATATTATATACCCCCTACAATTAGCAAGCATAATCAAAGGAAATTTTTGTTGGCAGTTAAATATTTTTAATTCATTAAAGAGAGTATTTTTCCAATGAACACTTTAATACACAAGAAAAATAATGTATGGGAATTAATGTCGCAGCTCTTGCAGAAAAAATACATAACCCGCGTAAGCGGTGTAATTTTTTTTCTGCAATATCTGCAACATTAAATCATGTACTAATAACCAAAGAAAGCATTTTATTATACAATTATAGCCTTTTGATTTGGTACAATCCCTCGATATATAGAACTTAAGAGAAAGCATATCGACCTCGCACTTTGTACTCGGTCGATATGCTTTCTCTAAGGTCTATATATTGAGGAATTGACCTCATCAAAAGGCTATAATTGTATATTAAATGAAGTGTGTTCATGCTTCATTATAAATATGTGCAAACATGAAGTATTGTAGTTCATGTACCTCATGACTTTTCAAATATTATAGACTAATTTATTGTGTTTATATTATTTATCTGATGACAAATTACAGATTATATGATTTTGAATTATAATTTAAAATTGATTTCATTAAATTTTTTAAGTCATGAGGTATTCATGTTCATTATTTGAGTTCATGAGGAAAAGGATTTGTTTAAAAAAAATGTAAACATATACATGTGGTTTTTTTTAAGTAGTATAGAATATCTGAGTATGTTTATAAAGTTTTCTAGCATTTTCACTTGTTAAAAAAAATGAAGTAGTAATTAATTGAATCAGACATATTTTTTCTCTGTTATTCTTAGGGTTAATAGAATTTGATGGTCAATTTTTATTTTTATTTATTTTTCAGGTCATGCTTCTTTCATTGGAAAGAAAACTGGGAAATGCATTGCGTTTTCAACTAGGAATAAATACTGCCGAAAGTGTGACCTTGCAACAAAGAAGGGATGCAGTGCGGAAGACCATGGTTGTAGAAAGAACTGGGAAGGTAGTTCAAAGGCTATTGAAGCAGATATGTGTATTTCCATGTTGAAAAATCTGGAAAGAAACGATGTAAGTGTTGGAACAATTATAATGGACAACGACTCAACAACGATTTCCAGAGCCCGTGCAGAAGTGAAGCCTGATCTATAAAAGCAATGTGACAGAAATCACCTGCTCAAGGACTTTACCAATAAACTATATGATCTCAGGAAAGCAAAGAATTTCAAGGAGCTCACACCAAAAACAATTTCACACTTATCGAAATGTTTTCGATACTGTGTATCACAACATCAGGAAGATGCGGATGAAATGAAGAAAAATTTATTGGCACTGGGTAAACATGTATTTGGAGACCATTCTTATTGTGGTTCATGGTGTGGATATTTGCAGAACCCACTAAAGTACAAACCCAAAAACCTTCCCTACAGCAGGTACCTTTGTGATGAAAATTTAAAGACATCCGTTATGGATTTGCTGAACAAATACGCAAGTGAAGCTTAAAAGTTAACCCATTTAGGTAGTTCTCAGCCTAACGAGAGTCTGAACAATACAGTATCCAGCAAGGCTCCTAAATCCAACTTCTACTCTGGGTCACAGAGCAATGACTATCGAGTTGCAGCCGCCATTGCCCAAAAAAACTTGGGTTATGGATACGTTTCTGAAGTAAGTATTTTAAAATGAATTAAAATAGATCCACAATTACATGACATTCGCATTTGTTTTTTTTCTTGAAAATTCCATTGAATATGTATATATTAATTGCAGGTGTGTCAATCTGTGATGTTATCTCCTGGAGAAATTACCAAAAAGATTTCAAAGGATTATGACCAACAGAGAGAGAAGGCAAGAGAAAGAGAAAGCACAGTTGAGTTCAAAAAGAGAAGGAGAGAGAAAAAGGAGCAACAAAGTAAACATCAGAAAACATGCGAAGTGAGAGAAGGAGTATCTTATGAAACTGGTGTAGACATGAATAACAATATATGCAGTGAGGATGTCTGTGAAATACCACCACCTATAACTGAACCAACCTGCAAAGTGATAAAACCTGGAATGGATTATGCTTATGTGGCATTTGATTTGGAAACTACTGGACTTGGTACGTTTTGTAATAAAAATATTGCGTTTGAAGGTTTTAGAAATAATAGAATCTTAATTTGATTTTTGAATTAATTTTCTCAAAGCAAATTTAAAAATATGCATGGCATATCAATAGTTTGATGTGTAAAATATTTTTTATCTCATTGTATTTCACAGGTCAAGATTGTGAAATTACTCAAATTGGGGCAACATACACAGACGAATGCAGTTTCAGCGAGTATCTTCTACCTTCCAAACGAATTTCGACGAGTGCTATTGCTCTGACTGGTCTTACTGTTGCTGGGAACCAGATGTATAAAGAAGGTCAACCAATTCAAGCAGCACCCCCATGTGAAGGACTTGGGAACTTTTTACAATGGTTGTCTTCAATTCACAAGCCAGTAGTGTTGATGGCTCATAATGCTAGATTTGATGCAAATGTCTTTTGCCGTGCATTGGTAGGAAACAAACTACAGGATGATGCTGGGAAAATTATTCAAGGATTTGTCGATACTCTTCCACTATTTAGGAAAAGTGTGCCTGGACTCTCCTCCTACAAGCAGACTGATTTGGTTAAAAGTCTCCTTCAAACATACTACTGTGCACATGATGCAACATCTGATGCAAGATCTCTTCGTCAACTTGTAAATTCTCAGGCCTTCTCAGAGGACCTCCTTCTACAACACAGTTTTTCACTTGACTCATACATCAGTATTATTCAGTATCATGAGAAAATGCAGAAAAACAATTCATCACTAATATGCTTAGTGGAAAATAAAGTTATTTCGAAAATGATGATGACTCGTATCGCCAAGTCTGGACTGTCCTTATCACATCTTCTACTAGCTAATACAAGAGGCCCACGGGCCTTATAGGTCACCTGAGCATCATGCAACAACTTTCAAATGATTGAATTTGTTTCATGTTTTAAGCTAGATGCTAAGGCATTCACAATTTTGGAAGAGACACTCTTGCTCATCGTAACTATGTACTTAGTTAGTTTATTTAAAACCTAGGAGCAGAGAAGAAGATTTTCAAAGATTTAATGCATTTTCACTATATAATCAATAGAGCCCCGCCCTAACACCAGAACCACTGACCCTGGGGCAATAAAATTCACAATTTTGGTAGAGGCACTCTTGCTCATCATAACTTTGTACTTAGTTAGTTTATTTAAAACCTAGGAGCAGAAAAGAAGATTTTCAAAGATTTAATGCATATTCACTATATAATCAATAGAGCCCCGCCCTAACACCAGAACCCCTGACCCTGGGGCCATGAGTTTCACAATTTTGGTAGAGGCACTCTTGTTCACATAACTATTTACTTACTTAGTTTATTTAAAACCTAGGAGCAGTGAAGAAGATTTTCAAAGATTTAATACATTTTCACTATATAAACAATAGAGCCCTGTCCTAACACCAGAACCCCTGACCCCCCTGGGGCCATGAGTTTCACAATTCTGGTAGAGGCACTTTTGCTCATCATAATTATTTACTGAATTAGTGTATTTAATACCTAGGAGCAGAGAAGAAGATTTTCAAAGATTTAATGCATTTTCATTATATAATCAATATAGAACCCCGCCCTAACACCAGAACCCCTGACCCTGGGGCCATAAAATTCAAAATTTATGAAGAGACACTCTTGCTCATCATAACTATGTGCTTAATTAGTTTATTTAATACTCAGGAACAGAGAAGATTTTCAAAGAAATAATGCATTTTCACTATATAATCAATAGAGCCCCGCCCTAACAACAGAACCCCTGACCCTGGGGCCACGAGTTTCATAATTTTGGTAGAGCCACTCTTGCTCATCATAACTATGAACTTAATTTGTTTATTTAATACCCAGGAGCAGAGAAGAAGAATTTTAAAGACTTACTGCATTTTCACTACATAATCAATAGAGCCCCACCCTAACACCGGAACCCCTGATCCTGGGTCCATGAATTTTACAATTTTGGTAGAGGACTCAATGCTGATTACAATCATACCAACAGTTTGACTGCTTGATGTCGGGGAGTAAAGAAGAAGATTTTTAAAGATTGCACTATTTTTAGTGGTTTTTGCCCCACCCCCAGGCCCCAGGGGGGCGAGGACCACGAAATTCACAATTTGTGTTCCCCTTCACCCATAGATGCTATATGCCAAATTTGGTTGAAATTGGTCCAGTGGTTTCAGAGAAGAAGCTGAAAATGTTTAAATGTTAACGCACGACGCACGACGGACGACGACAGACAAAAACGGATAGCAATAGGTCACCTGAGTTTACTCAGGTGACCTAAAAAGAGACTCTGAAAATGGGGTGTTTCAGTTGCTCTCTGGGAGAACACATGAAGGCAAGGCAAGGGTGACTCCTAATAAGAAAATAATTGGAAACATATGTATATTCCTTAAAAACATGCGTGACTAACAAGAAGTCTGTGAGCCAATACTAAGTAATAATACCCCCACTCTGATGTGAATATACACTATCATGTTAATATACACAAGTTTAATTACAGGCAGATGCACAGATAAATAGGAGGTTGGCATCAGATTCATATAAAAGTAAATCCAACCATATGGCATGCCTCGACAAAGTATGTGCTAGAATTTCAAGCATCTATGATGAGTAGCTGCTGAGAAAACTGCGTCAAAAATTTGTTATGTATGAAACAGACAGACGCATGGATAAACAGGAAGTTGACATCGGATTCCAACAAAAATTAATCCCAGCATATGGCATACCTCAGAAAAGATTGTGTTAAGATTTCAAGCATCCATGATGAGTAGCTGCTGAGAAAACTGCGTCAAAAATTTGTTGTGTATGAAACGTACAGAAGCATGGATAAACAGGAAGTTGACATTGGATTTGAACAAAAATGAATTCCATCCTATGGCATACCTCTGAAAAGATTGTGTTGAAATTTCAAGCATCTATGATGAGTAGTTGCTGAGAAAGCTGTGACAAAAAATTGTTACAGACAGACAGCTAGACAGACACACAAGGGTAAAACAGTATACCCTCCTCTCCTTTGGAGCAGGGGTATAATTAAATGTGCAATTTACAACTGCCTTTGTTAATTTTTTAATAGTAGAATAAAGTGGGACAAAGGACAGTAACTCCTAAATAGATAATAGAAGCATAAAGAGGTACATTATCAGTATAAATATTGGTAAATACTTCATTTTTATCTGGAAATCATATAAAATTAACATACAAGAAAATGTATCATATAATTGTTAATTAAATATCTTAATTTTTCAAAATTTGCTCCATTAGAAATAATGATTTTAAGATATTTCTCATTTTACATTGGAACCAATATTAAATGACAAATGTTAATTTTGAGCATTTTTTAAATTTTGAGCATGGAAAGGTGTGTTGATAGAGTCATTTATTGTCTTTTAATGCACAGTGGAAACCCATGAATGATGACTGTATAATTCTGTCCATAAACCAGAAACGTTGCCAATCCCCTTAAAACGGACAATGATAAAAAATAATCAATAATATTTACAAATACACAACGAACTGTCGATTCATTTTTAGCAAATATCTAAAACTTTTGCAAATTTAATATATTTCTTACGTGCATATAAATGTGTCCAACACTTTCTACAGTTTTCGTCATATATATCAGCAATCCTTCAACTCATTAAAATTCTAAATATACATGTTAGTTTCAAAATATATGTAACGTTCCGTAAGGGTGAAATACCAAGCGGCTAAACTTTAATAATTGAATTATTGATCATTTTGTTGAGCCAGCGAAGAAAAATACTTACAATTTCGTCCATTTTTTTCCACTAGCAACCGCTCAATTTTCAGATAGCAGTAATGAACGCGCAATTTTTTCTGATAGCAACCGTTTAGGTACTACACCGTGTTTTGGGTATCCATGAAGGGTCACTAACACTATCATTAAAATCATCGTTGTCTGATGAATCCTCTGAAGAGTCATTAGAAGGAGTGATCAATTTGGAGACATATGGCCCTTGTATTTCAATGTGTGTAAATTTTTCTGATATTTTTTTGGTCACTTCTTTTCTCTTTTCATTGCTTTTGTTTAAAGACAGATTTAAAAGCATTAATCCTCTCGAGCTAGAAAAGTTAGCATCCATTTTTACAGTTTGGGTTGAATTTAAATTCAAAGACAGTATATTGCTCACCCCGTCTTTCAACAATAATAGACCTGGATGTTGTTTCACGACTATATGAATTCTGTTAAGGATGTATTTAGAACTGGTTTAAGTAAATTTTCCTGGCGGTATGTCAGATCTAGTTGTAGGTTTTTAGCTCACCTGAGCCAAAGGCTCAAGTGAGTTTTTCTGATTACATTTTTCTCCGGCGTCCGTCTGTTTGTCCGTCTGTGAACTTTTCACATTTTTGACTTCTTCTCAAGAACCGCTCGGCCAATTTCAACCAAACTTTCCACAAAGCATTTTTGGGTTTGTTCGAATGAAGGGTCACGCTCTCATTCAAGGGGAGATATTTGGGAATTAATGAAAATTTGGTGGTAAGATTTAAAAATCTTCTTCTCAAGAACCACTGTGCCAGAAAAGATGAAACTTATGGGGAAATATCCTCAGGTAGTGTAGATTCAAATTTGTTCAAATCATGACCTCCGGGGTAGGGCCTGACCACAATGGCTGACCTAAGAGTTACATAGAAATATGTAATAAATGTCTTTAAAAATCATCTTCTCAAGAATAGTAAAGCCATAATTGATCATATTTATATGGAAGCATCCTCAGGTAGTGTAGATTCAAATTTGTTCAAATCATGACCCCTGAGGGTAGGGCGGAGCCACAATAGCCAATCAAAGTTTTACATAGATATATATAGGAAAATTCTGTAAAAATCATCTTCTCAAGAATAGCAACGGCATGATTGGTGATGGGACTACTTTTGGATTTAAACTTTTCAATAATAAACCAATTTCTACTTTTTCCTAGCCACAGTGCTCAGGTGAGCGATGTGGCCTATGGGCCTCTTGTATTACATTTAATGGTAACTCGTAACTTTTATACCTAAGACCAATTGATTTAATGCTCTTTAGCTCACCTGAGCTGAAAGCTCAAGTGAGCTTTTCTGATCACATTTTGTCCGGCGTCCGTCTGTCTGTCTGTAAACTTTTCACATTTTCGACTTCTTCTCAAGTACCGCTGGGCCAATTTCTACCAAACTTGCCACAAAGTATCCTTGGGTAAAGGGGATTCAAGTTTGTTCAAATGAAGGGCCACGCCCGCATTCAAGGGGAAATAATTGGGAATTAATGAAAATTTAGTGGCATATTTTAAAAATCTTCTCAAGAACCACTGTGCCCGGAAAGATGAAACTTATGGGGAAACATTCTCAGGTAGTGTTTATTTACAAATCTTCTTCTCAAGAATGACAAAGCCATAATTCCTCATATTTGTATGGAAGCATGTTCAGGTAGTGTAGATTCAAGTTTGTTCAAATCATGACCCCCGGGGTAGGGCGGGGCCAAAATGGCCGACCAAAGTTTAACATAGAAATATATAGGAAAATTCTTTAAAAATCTTCTTTACAAGAATGACAAAGCCGTAATTCCTCATATCTATGTGGAAGCATGCTCAGGTAGTGTAGATTCAAGTTTGTTCAAATCATGACACCCCCCCCCCCGGGGGGTAGGGCTGGGCTAAAATGGCCAACCAAAGTTTTAAAAGATATATATAGGAAAATTCTTTAAAATCTTTTTCTAAAAAATAGCAAATCCATGATTGGTCATGGGACTACTTTTGGATTTAAACTTTACAAGAAGAAGCCATTTCTACTTTTTCCTACCCTTAGTGCTCAGGTGAGCGATGTGGCCCATGGGTCTCTTGTTATTTTTTGGGGGTGTTAAATAGATAAAAGGGGAGAATCAGAGAAGAAAGAGTTATATGGATGTTCTGATACCCTTTTGGTATGTATATGTATTTTTTGCAATTAGCATTAATAAAACGTGTATATTTTTTTTTTAATTTTAAACTTTTTTTTTAAATTCTATATTCTTTAAGTATAACTTACACTTTTTATAATCTTTTTCAGTTCAATGTCCGACAGCTTTTGCAAGATTCTTGGATGACATCGAAGGTAATTCCAGTGGAATAAACAGAAATAATTTAGGTACTCCGACATTCCCTCTCTCTCTGTTTGTGTGTGTTTAAGATTTATAATGTATTTATTTGTAGAAGAATATCGACAATGTATCAAACAGCTGGAGGACCAAGTAGAGTTACTGCGCCTGACGATGTCGGCACATGATGTCCTTGACCTGAGAATCTGAGTTTTATTTAAGAAAAACTTATACTTCAACAAGAGTATCCCCGGTTCCTTAACTTTTTAGAAATATTTTATATAGACAATTCATTACATGCATTCATAATAAATATAACCGTCATGCAGTCATGCAGTCACTTTATTTTATTCTTTTAAAATTTTTGGCTAGGAAAGATGAAACTTATGTGAAAACACTCTCAGCTAGTGTAGATTAAAAGTTTTTTCAAATTATGACCCCCGGGGGTAGGGTTGGGCAACAATGGATGATTAAAGTTTTCCATAGGAATCCATGATTGGTCATATCTTTACAGAAGCATCCTAGTGTAGTGTTGATTCAAGTTTGTAGTAAAAGATGGGTAGGGTGGGCCACAATTGGGAATCAAAGTTTTACCTAGAAATATCAAAAAAACTTTTTCCCCAAGAACAGAAAAACTATGTTCAATCATATTGATATGGAGGCATCCTCAGGTAGTACAAATTCATACTTGTTCAAATGAGGGCCCTTAGGGATAGGGATGGGCCACAATGGGGCGGGGTCAAATGAATAAATAGGAAAAATCATTTGCTCAAAACCAGCTAAGTCATTTGTTATATTGATGTGGAAGCATCATCAGGAAGTTTAAAAGTCTAACCCCCCCTCCCCTGTAAAACTTCCCAAAACTGAAGTGATTTTTCTTTTTTTTTTCCCTAGTCAATGTGTGCTCATGTGAGCGATGTGCCCCATGGACCTCTTGTTTTTATTAAGTTGGAGTCACTAAGGTACACTTATGCATATTTGTAAAACAGTTACAGAAATATTTTTACATTTTACGATGGATAGGATATTTTAAAAATTCTTTCTAAAATTATGAATCGAGTTATTTATAAACTTGTTGGTATGGGAAAAGGATGGTCTCATATTTAGTATTCCAATATTGTCCCTTTGAGTGATGATGGACATGTCGCTACCATTCACACCCCTACTCCCGCTTTCACCACCACCACCTCAACATTAGCCCTTCGCTGGTTTCAAGAATTATTCTTCTAGAGGATATTTAAAGTATGCCTAATATGAAAAATAAAACTTTTTTTAAAGTAATTTTATTTAGTCCTATGAAATATTAATTGTCAGTATAATACCGCAAACATGTAATAATTAAACAATATTTTTTTACGGAAAATGAAAGCAATAAATAAGAATGGATGTCCATGGGCTACATCGCTCACCTGAGCAACTTTGCTTTTTCAACTCCCT